TAGAGACAACAAATCACTTATTGTGGACTGTTATTCTCAGCACAATGAAAATGATGATGGCATAACAGTCAGAGAGGAGAATGTACACCAGTTGTATAAAAATATGTCACGATTCCACCGTATGAGAACTGTGGGACCAGTTGCCAACTGCGAAATTTATAATGCGTTATTACACATGGTCAGATGTAGAGTTGATATTTAGGACTGATTGGTCGTTTGCTTGCTTGGTTGGTTGCTTGGTTGGTTGGTAGGTTGTCTGACTGACTGGTTGATTGGTTGGTTACTTGCCTGGTTGGCTGAATGACTGACTGACTGACTGACTGACTGACTGACTGACTGACTGATTGATTGATTGATTGATCTAATCCAGTATTCATAATGCATTCTTATATATGTTCAGATGTAGAGTTGATATTTGTGATTGTTTGATTGATTGATTGATTGATTGATTGATTGATTGATTGATTGATTGATTGATTGATTGATTGATTATAAGCTGATTGGTTAGTTGACTGACTGACTGACTGATTTATTAATTGATATATTCATTGATTAATTGGCCTACTGCAGTGTTCATATTGCATTATTATACATGTTCTGATGTAGATTAATATTTAGTAGTTCATATTAGGGATTGATTGTTTTTGATTAATTTTGTGATTGATTGATTAATTGTTGTCTGATTGATCGGGTGGTTGGTTGGCTGGCTGGCTGGTTGGTTGGTTGATTGGTTGTTTTTAGATCGATTGATTGATTGATTGATTGATTGATTGATTGATTGATTGATTGATTGATTGATTGATTGATTGGTTGACTGATCGATTGATCAACTGCAGTACTCATAATGCATTATTATACAAGTACAGTTGTAGACTAATATTTATTAGTTGAAATTTAGGCTCAATTGTTGGTTGGCTGGTTGTTGGGTTGTTTGACAGGTGGGTTGGTCGACTTGATAGATTCATTGATTTATTCATTCATAGAACCTGAACTTTCCTGCACTCAAGTATATTAAAACTCTAATATATTATACATAAAACAGTCACTTTTAAAATGAAACCTGAAATATATTGAGCTTGAGACTTTTGGTTCAAATATGTAAAAAATAAAATAAAATAAATAAAAAAAATAAAAAAATAATAATATTCATTATATATATAAATATTCGTTCATTCATTCTCTTTTTGGCTTAGTCCCTTTATTAATCCGTGGTCGCCACAGCGGAATAACCGCCAACTTATCCAGCATGTTTTTACACAGCAGAAGCCCTTCCAGCCGCAACCCATCTCTGGGAAACATCCACACACACTCATTCACGCACGTACACTATGGACAATTTAGCCTACTCAATTCACCTGTACTGAATGTCTTTGGACTGTGGGGGAAACCGGAGCACCCGGAGGAAACCCACGCAAATGCAGGGAGAACATGCAAACTCCACACAGAAAAGCCAACTGACCCAGTAGAGGCTCGAACTAGCAACCTTCTTGCTGTGAGGTGACAGCACTACCTACTGTGCCACTGCATCACCCATAGTAAAACTAAATAATCTTTTTTTTTATTTTTATTATTATTATAAGACAATATAACAAGACTCGAAGGAAGACTACTTTTAAAACATTTAATAACTTTCTTTTTGTTTTGCTTGCTCAAATGTCTCTAAAGCGACAGCACTGTTGCAATTGACCATGCTGATGATGCCAAATTTGTTGGGGAAATCCAATGGGAAAACTGTCGGTAGCGGCTCCATAAATGAAGCCAATGATGATGTCAATACTACACCTCTGATTCCGTCAGCAGGAGCGCGAACACCTCCAGATAAAATGATCAGGTAAAAAGTGCATCACATTCTAACTGCCACAGCAACACAATGCAGGAACCAAAACATGCTGCACTGGTTGTGCCTCTGTCTTCTTATTAAATCTTCACACCACAGATAGCAAGTTGAAGATGAATCATAAGAACATGAAGGGCTCTCTTGCAGGATGCGATATTCTCATTTCAAGGCACAGATCAAAGATAATGAGTGCCCTTTATCAGTTAGAGCAAGCTAGTGGGCTTTTAAGAGTTCTTCCCAGTCAAATTCTGGGCTGGTAACACCACAATATATCCTGTATATAACTTAGGTTGCGGCGAGGCAGTGGCGCAGTAGGTAGTGCTGTCGCCTCACAGCAAGAAAGTCGCTGGTTCAAACCTTGGCTCAGTTGGTGTTTCTGTGTGGAGTTTGCATGTTCTCCCTGCCTTCACATGGGTTTCCTCCGAGTGCTCCTGTTTGTCCCACAGTCCAAAGACATGCGGTACAGGTGAATTGGGTAGGCTAAATTGTCCGTATTGTATGAGTGTGTGTGTGAATGTGTGTGGATGTTTCCCAGAGATGGGTTGCAGCTGGAAGGGCATCTGCTGCATAAAAACTTGCTGGATAAGTTGGCAGTTCATTGCGCTGTGGCAACCCCGGATTAATAGCGGGACTAAGCCAACAAGAAAATGAATGAATGAACTTAGGATGCATATATGATTCTGTGTCTCATCTTGAAAAGTTGTCAATGTTGATCACTTATACTATACTGTAACTTAGATCCTGTTATAAACATCCCCAATGTCCTCTGTATGCAATGGATATTATGTAACTTCACAGTAAGTAGACTTTCCGAGCACCAGTCCTACTTTCTGAAGTAAAACAATTACTAAGTCCTATTTAAAAATGGACTGCTTGTGCATACACGTTATAGGTTAATTGTGCTAAAATTAACCATCGTGATTGTTGCGGTCTAATTTTGAGTATTGTTTCATGCTCTGCATAATGTGACAGATTGTGATGTTTTCTCCCTCACCATTAGAAAATGATGCCTCACGCAAAATACAAAGTGTTGCCGCACCGCTGTGGTGATTCATCGTGCACACCCGAGCCAATTGTGTGTATGATTAAGACGCATGCATTTCTCTGCGCAGCCTCGCAACCAATTATCTTCTCTCTTCAATGAGGCCCATAAAGGAACACGGTTTCACACACTCACTGGGACAAAGGGAAATAAAGGAGGATGCTACGTCTTCCTCTGTGGAACGTTTGACAACAAATCTTTCTAAATTAAATCCAGCGGCAATGAAAACATCTCATTTTCCTTGCATGAATTTGTCTGCTAACAGTTTGCAGTGTTCTACGTGCAACCATACTTAGTTGAAGCATAATATGTAATAAACACAAATATCTGTATACTGTACATTGTTTTTGAGAACAATTCATAGACATAATGTATTTGATATATAAAAAAATATGCATATTATATGGCCTTTCCCCTAAATCCAACCCTCAAAGGAAACCTGTGGCAAATTATACAGTTCATATGATGAAGTAAGTATGATTTCTAAACATTAGTTGAGTTGAGTTTCTGTAAACCTCCTTAATAAGTCTCATAGATATATACATTAGATATCGCCTGGCCTATTGTTGTCTATTGGACGGAATGCGTCAATAGCGCCGCCATCTTGCTACAGGGTAGCGCTCCTTTGAAATGAATGCGGGACCAAGGTACAGTGGAGGACTGTGGCCATCCAAAGCCAGAGATAAACACATATACACATATATCTATGATCGGGAGTTTTCCTGGATGTTAGTATGCATTTTTTTTTCTAATTACGAAAATTATAATTTTACATCACTTTTCTACATTGATGGATCAGTGATCGCACGGGCATTCCTGACAAAAAGCTTGTGTTTGTGTGTACAGAAATGTACTATTCACCCTCCTTGTTAAATTTGATCCTGAAACACAGCTCCTCTCCTGCTTTCACTCCTCATACTGACGGAGGGAGCGATTCGTTTTGTGAATGAATCCCCCGAACGACACTTTCACTAACGTTAGCCAACAATAATACAAGTTTCTGGCAGTGCAGCATCTCGCTGTCATATTTCTTTTGCATTGTTTGCTGATTTTTTTTCAACAAAACTAGCATAAGCCGAGTGTTTAGTGCGAGTTGGAGCTGCTTTGCTGTATGGTGAATGCAGTGACTGTTATCATCAATAACGTTACCTGATTAGCACAAAAGTTCAGAACATACAAAAACAGAAAAAACGTAATATTACCTATGAAATGTTCTGCCTATGTGCTTTGTTTTCTTTGTTTGCTCGTTACTACACCCGTAGACAGCGCTAAAGTCCCGCATCTTCACGTAATAACACTGTCTTGACTAGTGCGGTTGAATGGCATTTGTCCTGGGAGCACTGTACCAATGTGGCGGCGCTATTGACGCATGCTCAGGGTCCCTATGCGATATCTAGTGTATATATCTATGAATAAGTATTAATAGGTCATATCCATGCCATTATACAACTTTGTGTCCATGTAAACCATATAAACCTGTCAGTTGATTCAAATGTTATCAGTCGATTGAATGGGCGCTATCAGTGGTTCTCAGCTGATATATATATATATATAGACCAGTAGGGGTCTTCTACGCCTACTAGTAGGCTCAGAAGGCAGTTATCATTCATCCACATGGTTAATCAGCTATAGATCACATATGGCTGTGGCCGGAAGTAATAATTATTTATATTATTTATTAAATTACCCAATAACTGTGTTTTATTAACGGCTACCCCAACCCTAAACCCAGCCATCACCGTAATGTAAAAACAGATCTGGATCTGGAGCCTTTCTATTAGCTTAGCTGATTAACCACAATAATTATTTAGATTATTAATTAAATTTCCTATTAATTGTATTTTATTAACATCAACCCACACTCCAACCCTAAACCCAGCCGTCACAGTAATGTAAAAACAGATCTGGATCTGGAGTCTTCTCTGTTTGTTTAGCTGATTAGCCATGTGGATGGATGATAACAGCCGATAACCACTGATAACGCCCATTCAACTGAGTGATGACATTCGAAGTTGGTGAACCTGTACACACACAAATCCATTTACCATGTGTGGAAAGACACAAGTAAATATGAAAATTGGGACCACTTTTAAAATAAAGCAATAGTAAGAATACACATACCATATCGGTGTCTGATACTGGTCCGAAGCTTGTCACGTAGATGTTTGTCCTCACCTCAGTCACACTTTCTGCTTGGACAAAAACAGAATGGGTATAAGAACAAAAATAAGTATTATATAAGAGACATATTAAATAAACACAGAGGGCTCTATTTTGACGGTCCATGCGCAAAGCGCAAAACGCAGGGCGCAAACGCTTTCAGGGCGTGTCAGGACGCGTTTTTGCTAATTTAAGGACGGGAAATCTGCTTTGCGCCGTGGCGCATGGTCTAAAAGGGTTGAGTTTATTTTATTAATGAGTTATAGGTGTGTTTTGAGAATAAACCAATCAGAGTCTCATCTCCCATTCCCTTTAAGACCCAGCTGCGTCACGCCAAGAGTGCATTTGCTATTAACATGACGTAAAGTAAGTCTAAGTGGAAAAAAATGAGCATTTCACAAGCAAACAGTTAACAGTTTATTAACAGAAAACTGTTAAACAGAGCATCTACTGCGTGAGAATGAGAGATAATGGATCACTTTCACATTCACTCTTGGATAGGGAAACCTTTACGCACAGACATCAATTAGTCTATAAATAAATACTTTTGTTTGTTAAGCGCAAATATTCATTTCAAAACTATTTCTAAATTCAGTTCTAATTTCCAGCAAACGAATAAATGAACAATAATAACAAAATGTGCTCAAAAACCTGAGTTATATCCTAAAACACATGCTGCGCCCCATATGGTCTAAAACTTGACAGGTGGACAAATCTAAGCTTGTTTTTAATAAAACAAATATAAATATGGATATAATAAATAATACTGCTAATAATAATAACATTATACAAAATCAAATTGTTATGAATGAACTGAAAAAGCCTCCAGAGATGAAGAAGACATAAAAGCAGTGATTTTTCATATTTATGTAGGCTAGAAAATAATATGTTTTGTAATATTTTAATCCTTTATATTTATATCCTATATCTATTCTTATTATATCCTATATATCCTTAATATTTACATTTTTTCATATGTAAAGATATTTGCCTATTGCTCTCTTGTGTGTATTAAGCAGTGTGTAAGCGAGGTGCAACTCTGCGCTGGAGTTTAGACCGGGTTAGTTTTGGTCTAATGAAAAATCTATTATAGTTTCTCAAAATAGCATGGCGCCAGCGGTCCGCCTCAGAACGCGTCCTTTTTAGACCAGAACGTCTATGGCTGCACAAATGAGCGCTAATGCATTTGCTATTTAAACAGCGTAGCGCAACACCTCAAAACCACTCTTGTGCCAAGCTGAAACTACCAAAAGACTATTGCGCCACGCCTTGCGCCACATTGCACCGGGTGTATGATAGGGCCCAGAGAACATGAATTCATAGACATGTAAAGGCAACAATTCAGCACACTTTCTGTGTTGTGTCATTGAACCCACAAAAATGTCACAGTCGTGTCTCCGGGAATACTAACATCTGTTTGGTGCTCATAATTTAAATTAATAAAAAGTTAAATGTAAAGTTGGTAAATCCAAAATTATGCAATGCAGTTTTTTGATATTTTAATTGAAAATATTTGATATTTTTGAATCCTTGGTGTTACTAGCATAAAATTTGGTACATTTTGGTGTATTTGTTTGCAGTTTGGATGAATGAATTTGCGAATCCACATGTAGAATGTTTGCGATCCACACACGCCTTTCTCCTTGAACAAAGAAAACCGGGTGGCTGCACCCCCTGGTTTGGGCCTCAGGTTTGGATTACTGTCATTGGGGTTTGTATGCTAGATTGGTGGCAGCTTTATAGCTGGAGCAGATTGGCGTTTCCTCAACTGCATGCAAGCAGATCTCGTTGTGTTAGCAAGCAATGATCTCATGCCAGACCCGGAGGTTTGCTCTGGAGTGTTTTTCAGTCTGCTCTGAGGAGTTGGAGGTTGGGATGTTTTCACACAGAGTGAGAAAGAAACACACACAGTCCTGAACTCTGTTGACTTGGGGACTTAACTGGTGTGTTAGCATACAAGGTAGGCAAATTAAGTTTATTTTACACAGAGGAATCATAAAAAGTGTATTGTGTTAAACAAGTCAACATTTGAAGTGGATCAAAACCATTCATCAAAGTTGTCCAAACACTATTCAACAACACCCACAAACTTGAGTGCTTTCTGTCAGCTTGAAGTTGCTAAGGTCTTATAACCAACCTAAGTTAGTGTTCTGGGTAGCCGTGGTCTAGTAGTTAGGGAGTTGGAATTGTGATTGAAAGGTTGCAGGTTTGAGTCCTTGTAGAATAACCAACACTCTTACCAGTCTTAAATACCAGTCTGATGAACCCTGAGGAAAGCATGGATCCCCCAACTACCGCAACAATGACTGCACACTGCTCCAGGTGTGTTCAAATTGTGTAAGTGCTGTGTACTGTGCACGAATTTTGAGCATGGGTAACCCTACTTGACCATATGTCAGGACTTTCAAACTAGCCCAATTATACTAGCTTAAAACTAGCTCAAAGGGCGAATCAAACTAGCCAACAACTAGTCCAAATGTCCAATCAAACTAGCCCAAAGTTAGCTCAAATGGCCAATTAGACTAGACCAAAACTAGCCCAAGTGGCTAATCAAACAAGCCTAATGGCCAATCAACCTATCCCAAGACTAGGCAATTAAAAAAGTTCAATTGGCTAGCTAATCTAACTAGCAATCAAGCTAGCTCAAATGGACAATACAACTAGCCCAAAACTAGTCCACATGCCCCACCAAACTAGCCCAAAATGGTTGATCAGACTAGTTCAAAACTAGTTTAAACGGCCAATCAAACCAGCCTAATCTTCAATCAGATTAGCCCCAAACTAGCCCAAATGGCCAATCAAACAAGCCTAATGGACAACCAAACTAGCCCAAAACTAGCCCAAATGGCTGATCAATCAAGTCTAATGGCCAATCAACCTATCCCAAGCCTAGGCAATCAAAATAGTTCAATTGGCTAGCTAATCTAACTAGCACAAATGTCAAAACTTGTCCAATCAAACTAGCTCAACTGGACAATACAACTAGCCCAAAACTAGCTTAAATGGCCAATCAAACTAGCCTAATCTCCAATCAGATTAGCCCCAAACTAGCCCAAATGGCCAATCAAACAAGCCTAATGGACAACCAAACTAGCCCAAAACTAGCCCAAATGGCTGATCAATCAAGTCTAATGGCCAATCAACCTATCCCAAGCCTAGGCAATCAAAATAGTTCAATTGGCTAGCTAATCTAACTAGCACAAATGTCAAAACTTGTCCAATCAAACTAGCTCAACTGGACAATACAACTAGCCCAAAACTAGCTTAAATGGCCAATCAAACTAGCCTAATCTCCAATCAGATTAGCCCCAAACTAGCCCAAATGGCCAATCAAACAAGCCTAATGGCCAATCAAACTAGTCTAAATGTCCAATCAAACTAGGCCTAAACTAGCCTACTTGGCCAATCAAATCTTTCCAAATGGACAATCAAACTAGTCCATGGCATTTTTCCATCCGTAACAAGCTACTCTGCTCAATAAGACAAACGAGGGCAATTGATTAACTCCTGTGGATGCTAAAGGCACCACAGACCTTGCCTTCCATACCTAAAACAGCTGTTCTTTCCTCTATTATGTTGGGTGACAATCAGGTACGGTTTCAGTTGTGTTTCCAAATGAGCCAAAACATGAAGTTTAGAGGAAGTTCTCGAAGCAGTCAAAGATCTGATGGTGTTCCCCCTTGGCAGAGAACGTATCTTTAGCTTGATGGAATTAAACTTGTCACGTTCTCTGTGAGTTTCCAGTAGATTCTTCATCCATTTTTCTGCACAACATCACTACTGAAGTATGGCGTCCACCCACTCCTTGTAGTTCACTAGGGGCAAAAGAGGTTGTTTTGGGCTGTTTGGTCCTACTACAAAGACCAGGCGCTGTCTTTTCAATCAGTCCCCCAGTCAAGAAGGTTGTTGGTTTCCTGCCAGTAGGTCATTTCATGGCGTCAAAACAGTTAAAATCAGCCCTACCACTGAGATGTTGAGGGGTTTCAGGGCAAGCCCCCTTAGCGGGTGTCATACCACAACATTGTGTGCTCATTTCTTTCTAGTAGCCCTGAAAAGGCTGTCTTGCTAGACCTGCCATGTTTCATGTTTTAGAAGGCAGCATTTCTCCTATGGATATCCATCCTGTCCATGATCAACACCACTGCTGAAGTGTGGGAAGCCCTGTTTTTAGAAATTGAAGTACAGTCTCTTCAGTCAAATGGACATTAAAAAAGTTACCCTTCGTTCATTAGCTTTTGTTGGTTAGTCATTTTGCCAACACAAGCTCATTCTGAAAATGTAGCCCTACGGAAGTTTCTGGAGATTGCGAATTATGTAATAAGAAGTACGTTTGGCTGCATTTCATCTGTTAAAATGAACGCTATGGGGTACCATGATGCCATTCCTTTTCGCAATTACCATCTGCACAGCTTTCCCACTGTTTGTCCAGTTAGCTAGCCGTTTACGTCAGCGGACTCGAGACGCAGAGAGGGGCTGACTATGATGCCGGGATTTGAGTTCGGCAAAGAACGGTTTCAGAGAGACAAAAACAGAAGCCAAAAAAAATGAAATAAACAAAAAAATAACAGGTTGAAAATGTGGTAAAAATCAGACGAGGGCTTTAATAATTTTAGATTACTTTTTAAAACATGTCGTTCGGGTTTAGGGAAGGAGGAGGGTGGGTTAGTCGATCAGTCAGTCAGTCATTCGTTCAGTCAGTCGGTCAGTCGACAGCAGTCTCTAGTGGATTTACACGAGTAGAAGAAGCATGAATGGCACTTGTGAGAGAAACTTGAGATCTCAAAAAGCATGCAGAGTGGCATTTGGTGGATTCACGAAATCAAAACTTCTGGAATGTATTTCGTGATCAGCAGAAATGTGTATAGTGGTGTGTTTTCAGAATGAGCCTGGGTTGCATTTTGCACAATGGTGTATTGGGGCAGCTCATGATGCAATGAGTTCCCATTAAAAGGACTGTCTCAGATACATGTACACTGATTTTTTTTATTTATTTAGCGGTAGAATTGAGGATGCAATTACAAAGATGTCTTTC